TGCAAACATATGATCATTAACAATACTTATAACAAAAAAATTAGAATTCACTCCAATCACGAAATGGAGTTTTCAATGTGACTACGAGCACTGCTAAACTGAAAATTGCACTGACACTGGTTACTTTCTTTTTATTTAATTCTAATTTTCTGAGACATCCAATCGCATCAGTTTTGTAAACACTGTTTACCAAATGCATTACTCTCCTAACAGGTTTGTTAACATTTACCAGTTACATTTGTTACAGCGGTCTTGAACTGGAATTTACAATAGCACACAAAACTAATTTAATTTTTAGAACATAAAGAATGAAATATTTTGCATTATATTAAAAGGAATCAATAAAAAAAATTAATAACAATTTATTGGAATTCCAATTGTTGGTCATAAACTATTTTTGAAATCAGTTGAGTAAATTGCACCCAGTAAACGAAAACTAATTGAAATGAATTAAAAAGAATTCACAAAGAGCTTTCGTGAATCCCGCTTTGTGACAAATACGAATTGGAGCCATGATGCAATTTTCCTGAATTCGTGAAACTGTATTGAACTTCCGAACCTTCTATCCGTACCAATTCACTGGACAAGTTTTGAGCCTTTAATTTTTTTCAATTCGTTAGCACGAATTCAATGCATTCCTTGGCCATTTCTTTCGAATGCGAATTCGTTTGGACAAATTGGTACATATTGAATTAAATTCAATTGAATATACAAAGAGCTTGAGTGAATCCCGCTTTGTGACAAATACGAATTGGAGCCTACCAAAAATGTTAATTCGTTTCAATTCATTTGAATTAGTTTTTTTTTACTGGGCACACTTCCCTTAACCACATACAAATTACTGACAATTAAGTAGACGAGATTAATAATCGATTGAATAATGGTGCTTAAGGATAATATGTAGGTGGAAAACAAACTTTAGATACGAACGATCTCGTGGAGGAATAATAGACAAATAATTTAATAACGACGTTTGTCTTGAGGAAACAAATATTGACCCTATGGTCTGTTTCAGCGTCAATTGACCAATTCTAGACAGTAGACTCCGAAAATATTTATTACTTCATAATTAACTATAATAATCGTCGAATTCTTTCATTTAGTCTGTCCAGAGCGTGTACATTCCGTCCGCAGTGAGAGCGAAAGAGAGCCGAATAGTTAAGAAAGTAATGCCTACTTTTTGGGTTTAGAAGGGGGTATCATGTTTTCTCCATTTTCCGTGTCAGATAGAAAGAGAGGAACAGAATTTGGGGAAGGAAAAGTGGGGAATTTCACTTTCAAGCCAAAATACGAAAAGGGCGTCTTATTTCCTTATTGGCTAATTATTTTTCTTTTCTCACTCACAGATAGATTAAGGAGTGAAAGAGAGGGAGATGAGTGAGAGGTTTAAATTTTATCGTTGTTCCATAAACCAAATGGACAATTTTTCACCAATTTTTGACCACCACCCCGCCTCTGGTTGTGAACAATCGCAAATATTTTTAAAAACTAATTCGTATAATTATTCTGTTTATAATTTAAATTCTCCAAAAATTTGATCATTTATAAAATTTATTATTTTTAAAAGATTTTACCAAATTTTAATTGTTTCCTTTAAAAGAGTTTTTGTATAATTAAAAAAAACTAATTAATTTTTTGATGAATGTCAATTAAAATTTTGAATATAAATGTTTTTTTCCAAAATGTTACAAATAATTTTAAAATATTATTTTTGTATGTATTTAGATTTTTGGAAATATAAATTAAAAAATACTCAAAATATAGAATTTAAAAAAATTAGAAGCTAATTTTCAATAATTTTATTTTTAAATTGGCCTTTAAAGACTTTTTATTCTTTAAAAATTAAACATTGAACGGGTTGGTCACTAGTGAAAACTTACATCAAATTCGTTATCAGTGTCCCTAAAAACCACCGAGTGACAAAATTAGGGTCAATTGCATATAAAGTAAAAATTTTTGTTCCATATTGGATGGGGGGGGGTCAAAAATTGTCCTTGTGGTTTATGGACGGCCCCTAAGCTTATACCTCAGCTTATATCATGAGTATCAATAAATCTCGGTGTCAATGTTTTGACAAAGAAGGAAGAATACTTCAATAAAATAATTCTTTTAATATATAATTAATTTATTTAAAGTTTTTCTATCGCTTGACTAAACTAATCAAAACAAAAACCATTATTTTGTAATTTGACTTGCTTGGTACTTTGAAACGTCTGGCAACACCGTATTTCTTTAGTCGTGTTGCAAATGTTTGGTATGACTTGTTCACATTTAGTTTTGAGTAGAAAATTGTGTGCAATGTTGCCAGATGCTTAAACAGCTGTTCAATATACTGTATAAAACATTAAATATTTTTACAAATTAATTTATTGAAACTGTCACAGGTACCTAATGACACTTTTTTTAAAAGATATTTAACCATTATATATCTGTCTCGTATTAAAAAATGTTTCATCAATTTCTTAATGTTAAGTACTTTGTGGTGAGTAAATAGGTTTGAAAATGTACTCAATTCCCACAAAACTCAATGTTAAAAGTTAAAAACATAGAAATAATACAGTTTTCCAAAAAACTAACAATTTAAGGAAATAATTATAAAAATAAAAAAACATTATTATATTTATGCCGTAAAACTGCTCAGTGTGTTAAATTTAATTTTTGGTTATCGTGTTTTTATGTTTTTATAATATTTTTCAAAAAAATTTGTAATCTTTTTCCAATATTTCAGAAGAAGAACAAAACAGATCTTAAAGTCTTAGTCACATTTTTATAAACACACAATGAAATAAGGTCTTGAGTTATCATAAGACAATTAAGCAGAAATTTCGCGCGCGCGTAGCTCTGCTAGTACTGTTAATAATATTTAAATTAAATAGGCGACTTTTTAGTAAATTTAAAATAATGGATTGTCTTATGGTTTAAAAGAATAATAACCCTTGTAGTATTGGAAGTATGGGTAAAAGATGGTCAGGGCTCTCTTTGGTGAAATATGGCACTAAGTTTGACAAATTAAGGCAATAAGTATTGATAATGAACGAATCCCATGATTAAAGAATGGTCACAACAAAAATATTTCATTAAATCAACTGACAGATACAAAAACTGTCAATTTTTTCAATTTTAAATCATGGGCAAAATATGGAAATCATAGGGAGAAGGAAAAAAAGTTTTTTTTTATATTTTTAAAGTTTACTGCGAAAACCGCGAAATGAAAAAAAAACTAAACTTTTTTCATATTTTTAAACTATGGGCAAAGGATGACGAATTATAATGTGAAGAAAGAATATTTTTCGTATATTTATAAACTACGGTCAAGAAATGTCAAACAAGGAGAAAACATTTTTTCTTCTTTGGTTTGCCATACTTTACCCACAGTTAAAAATTTCGATAATGATTTTTAAAAATATAAATAAACGTTTTCTCCTCTCCCCATATACTTTGCCCATAGTTAAAAACCCAGTAAACGAAAACTAATTGAAATGAATTAAAAAGAATTCACAAAGAGCTTTCGTGAATCCCGCTTTGTGACAAATACGAATTGGAGCCATGATGCAATTTTCCTGAATTCGTGAAACTGTATTGAACTTCCGAACCTTCTATCCGTACCAATTCACTGGACAAGTTTTGAGCCTTTAATTTTTTTCAATTCGTTAGCACGAATTCAATGCATTCCTTGACCATTTCTTTCGAATGCGAATTCGTTTGGACAAATTGGTACATATTGAATTAAATTCAATTAAATATACAAAGAGCTTGAGTGAATCCCCCTTTGTGACAAATACGAATCGGAGCCTACCAAAAATGTTAATTCGTTTCAATTCATTTGAATTAGTTTTTTTTTACTGGGAAATGAAAAAATTAAAATGTGTTTGGTTATAGGTATTTCAGTTGATTTAATGAAAAATTAATTTTTGTTTTCACTATTCTTTAACCATGGGTTACCAAAGAACGTTTAACTCCAGAGGCATCTGCTGAATTTCATAAAAAAAATTAAAGTACATCAAACAGAAATCGCAGTTTTTAAATGTTTCACTGAAATAATTATAAAGTACTAAAATTTTACTTATACGTTGTTTTCCACATGAGAAATTCTAAAAATTAAAATTGGTGGATCCTTTATGGTGGATGAATTTTGTAAAACTATATCAAAGCTCGCTTGAATCTGGTACAGGAGATTTCAAATTAACAGATTTCAAAGTCGACATTATATTTTCGAATTTCAAAAAGGCGGATCCAATATGACGGGCATTTTTTGAAATATAGATGGGATTTACTTATAACGTCAAACTCAGAAATTTTCTGATCGCTAATTACTAAACCTTAATCAGATTTACAAATTTCAAAAGTAGCAGATCATCATCATTTTTGGTTTTAGAGGGGTCGACTCCCAAGATCTATATAGCTGGCAGCGTACAGTAATAAATCACAAGTTATTCACAGTATTTGTGGATCTAAAAATTTTTCCTTATACTCAAGGGAATTTAATCGTGAGAATATTTAGATTTCTAAAAAAAACCTACGAGATCATTCAAGCGGTCCATAATTATAAGCACCAATTTTCCATATTCATAATAATTGGAGATCTCAAGATGTTTCCTTATTCTCAAAAAGAAATTTAATCGTGAAAATATTCAGCCTCCAAAAAGCTTGAAGATTAACCAACCATATGGTTATACGACAATTTTAAGAAATTAAAAAATTTAGTTAACTATTTTCCTCAAATATCACAAAATTAGTAATTTTATTATAAATACATAATTAAATATTATAATTAAAATATTTTCTCGATCTGTTTACCTTTGTTTCGTTTTTTATCGTTTATTTTTAAAAATTACGTACATAATCATATGATATTCGTAAATAGCAAATTTTTTTTTATCAACATGAGTTTTATACGTTAATATATGAATACAATATGCCACAGATATAAATTTAAGCGTGTGCAAATTGGGAGGCGATATAAAAAAATTCAAGTACTTTGATTTGATAAAAATATCAAGCTGATAAACAGTTGGTTTTTTGATACCGTTGTGGTCATGACAAAAGCAAAAGAAGTTCCATCAGAAACTAGATTAAATTCGAAAAAAATAGAAAATGAGTTAAACATAAAGTCAGAGGCGAAAGGAGGATCTTTCTTTGATCCAATGTCAGTGACTTGGATGGAAAAATACAATTACAAAGTGGAGAAGATTTGGTCCACATTTCCCAGCCTCGTACAAACGTCAATTGTGACATGTGCAATTTTTCTCCTTGGTTCTTTTTTGAGAGGTAAAGCTTCTAACTCTCGATTATTTTCCACAAAATAAAATCAACATTTGTAATAATTTAACTTTCTGAGAAAGTTTTAAATTGGTAATTTAAAAAAATATGTTAAAGTAGAGAATTTAAAACACATAATTAAAATAAGGTTCTTCAAAGAATTGCTTCAATAACATTTCTCATCTAAGTCAATAAATCTTGAAAGTATTTGGATTAATGCATTACGCGAGTTGACTTCCAAGAATTGCAATTGACAAAATAAAATGAGCTTTTTATGGTCGCGACATTCGCCACTGAATTGTCTCGTGAAAAGACTTTATGGTCATTGTTAAATCTAGTTGTAAAGAAAGGTTGAAAGCTATCTCAAAATATATCTCTGGTAATTAGGTTATTTCAACTTGAAATTATGTCAGTAAAATTAAATAATAAAATCAAGTTAAATAAATAATTTTATTGTAATGTTTAAATTTTGTCTAATATTAAATCCATACTTTGGAGAGTAGGACATTCATGTTTTGAGAAACTTAAATAATGTTAGGGATCATTCACATATAACATCACGCAAGTTTGGGAAATTTTTTACCTCTCCCCCCCTACGTCACATTTTGTTGCATAGAAATTGATAATTTTTACACAGCTCGTCACAAAACTGCAGACCCTCCCCCACCCCCTAAGCATGTGACGTAATATGTGAATGATCCCGTATTTGCCGTACGAAAATTTCCGTTCAACTTTAATGAAGCTTGTAACTTATTTCAAAACTGGAGCAAAAAAAAAACGTTTATCTCTAGTAATGTAAAATTATTTTGTTACCCCTTCAATAAAATTAAATCGATCGCTTTTTGAACACGTTTAAATAGGGTGAATCACCATTTGCAACTGATGAGCCAATAATTTCGTGTGTACATTCAATTTACTGGTTGACCTATAAAGTTTTAGGTGACTGATTCATATTCATATTTAAATGTCAACATTTCTCTTCGAAATATAAAGTTGTAATTTTAACGGTTTTTTGTTTTGGTTTAATTAAAGGGTTAGAGGCATTCAGCGATATGAAAAAATGAACATTTTTAATAATTTTTTTTTGAAAAGAGATTTTTTTTTATAAAACTAATCCCTTAATTAAGAATATTACTCGAGTTTTCGTTTTTGTAAAAAAGTGTTCTGGTACTTTATCAGGTGAATGGATGCTGATTCTTATACACTTTGTCAAACATTTTGGATATGGAGAAAATGTCAGTAACTCAAGTAACGCTTCGTCATTTCCAATGAATTGGCGTGAGCTCTCTATGGAGAGCTTTTATCTAAAGAACTTATTTTACTTCTGGGTGCCGGCTATGACAATCTCTTGTTCAATGTACTATGGTATAGGTGGATTTATTCACGTAAGTTTTCAAAAATGCTACAATTTTTCATTTCGAGAATCTAGTCTACCACGTTCTTTTAAACTCCCTAAATTAATTAAAAAAACTTTTAATTTATTTTTATTACAATGAAGTAAGGTATTACAAACAATTGCACAATGACTGAATGACACAAATTCACTCAGAGGTGTGCATATCACATCTGTTCTGGGCCGATTACTGTCGCACAGACCATTTGACAACTATTGTCTCCTATCTGACGATGCTAATGCCATAAATTCTAGACTATCGGATTTCGCTAGTGTATCCGCCAAAAAATAATGGATACACAGCTGTGACATGCTCGTTACAATCAAATGTACACGACACCTTCTCTTTTACATAGAGGACTTTATGTCATTTTGTAATCTGATTACAAAATGCTTGCAATTGCACTATTCCGATTTGTAAATTTGTAAAACATTAAAACTCGTTGTCATATCGTAAAATTTATCAGATCTGTATCAAGTTATGTATGTTATCTTAATAATGCCTTTAAATAATATTGTTATCAATCTTTTCATTTCGAAAGATTGAAATTATTTGTCAAATTAAATGAATATTTTGAATTTCTAACTTTCATTAAAGTTCGTTATCAAAGAATTTAATAAAGTTTATCTTATAATAGAAAGTAGTTTCTTTCATCGATAATCAGAAATAAATTGATATTAAAAAGCTGTGATGGAAAATTTACTTACAAAATACGTTAATTACTTTAGATCAAGATTTACGAAGACTTACTATATAGGTAACTTACTCGATTAGTTTATTCTAAAAATAACTGAATTGATTCGCATTTAAAAAATAGCCCAGTATTCAACCGCAAACCACTTTTGGAATTATTTATAAAATCAACTAGGGGTTTATATTATAATTTGAATTTTCGAATATTGCAGTGGTACTTTTACGTTCGTCAACGTGACAAACCTGAGGAATGGAAGTGCCAACCACAAAAATTTCTGTCACCTGAATTGGAACGACATGAAATCATGCTAGGAAGCTTCAGTTTACTATGTACAAGTTCAGTTTCAGCTCTACTAGCTTGCTATATGTTTAATGGAGGACCATGTTTCGTGTATTATCCGTTCAACCAATACGGTTGGTTTTGGTGGTTTCTTCAGTGGCCTATTGTGTTCATTTACATGGTGAGTTATTGTACCACTTTTATTTTTTCCAATTCAAATTTATATGAAGATTTTCTTTATTACTTTAAATTATTATTTTAATTATTGTATTTAATTTGAGAATTGTTGTTTGAATATTAGGGTGCTTTTGGACATGCGTTATGTAAATTTATCAGTCGATTTAAAAATCCGATGACTGAGTTACTAATTGATGCACAATTCTCCAAACGCTAGCGTTATTCAAACAAACATAGGGATCACGTTAGAGATCGTCAAATCAAATAACATAAATTTCAAACTAACCACTAACCAGACCGAGTGAAGGCACGAATTTACCGATTAATGTTTTACCTTCTCGACCCTAATCACCGATATTAGTCCACATTGCTCGAACAGTCGAGTTAGTTGAATGTTTGGTTATTCTAGCGGGTAGTTAGGGATTTATTAACCTTTTGACGAAATTTTCACCTGTTTTCACACATTAGGATCATCCTTAAGTGTGTTGTAATACGATCAGTGGTCTAATAAATCTTGTTCATTGATATTTTTAGTAAATTCAGTGGTTAAAACAGTAACAATTTTATAATGCCACAGGAGAAGTTTGAATTGACAGAGAGAAATCAATTAACAATAGATAGTGTTCGCCGTCTTTGTGCACCAAGCGAACTTGACAAGATTGTAAGGGTGACGTTAGATTCTTGTGAAAACAGTTTACGACTCAAGGTTTCCGTTTCTCCACGGATCGTTGATAAAGATTTCTTTGGTCGTTATAGAACGATAAAGGCGTGAGGGCAAGATATAGATGACAATAAATAAGAACCGACCTTGCATGGGTCACCAGTATTTCCTTAACTGTCCGATCGAATCCATTTTGCTGCATTGTTCGTTTCAATGTATTGTCGTCACGATTTACAGTTGTTTTCGTTTCCACCATTAAACCCACAAAAAGTCAATCATTCTGTCGCCATTGCAAAACATTTTTGCATACTCTCAAAATATCTTGGAAATATTATATCGTTTTCGCGTATTCAAAATCTTAAAATAAAGTTAGAAACTTACAATAATAAAAAAAATATACAGTTCGTGTTTAAATTTTCATCGTAACATGTAAGAGTCACAAGATTTTTTGTAAAATTGAATAGTAAAATGCGCGCATGAATGCGAGAAGCAGTACAAAAAAAATTGCTTCAAACGGTGAGAAATAAAAATTTTCCCTGAATAGGTTTTTATTTTGAAATTACGTAGAATGTCATATTTTTAAAGAAATATCTTTAAGTTGAAAAGGCGTGAGAAAGCTCACTACTTTACACGTGTCTCCGTTATGTGACCGAGTCTTTGCCTTTGAGCTTACGACCTGGTCGAAATCTCTATGGACGAAAGAGAGCACGACGACAAGAAACCGGAAGAATTTCCAAGACAAGTTTTCCAGTAGAAGATTTTCTATTTCTATTTTTCTTAACAAAAAAACCGCATCTCTGAACTTTTGCTACAAGATGTAACTTGTACTTTCCCAAGTTTGAAGACTTATTCTCCCTGTAGTGTTTCCGTACCACTAACTATCGCTCAAGTTCTTTTTTTATTATTAAAGGATGCAATAGAGGAAGAATTTAAAAGATTAGAAATTCAGTACAGCAGCCTAGCCGGTTGTTCGCGAGTGAATTAATTAAATTCATTCTTTTAACCTTGATAACGGTTCTCAAGACTTGTTGGTGTTGAACTGTCGGTCCTTGTCTGCTAAGACGGACGTTGATGTCGGAGCTATTCCCATCTGAATCGCTCAAGTGAAGCAAGTCCACGCTCCACGTCTTCTGTTGTGATTTCCTTTTTGTACGTGAGCCGTTTGCTAAAGAAGTTACAGGAAATACCCGAACGTACTCTAACACACGTTTCCCAACAACTTGACTCGGTTCAACGAGTACGTCAATAACATCTTATCAACTCGATGATGTAATTGCTGTTTTCTCATTTTCATTTCAACATTTTGTTTTCTGTTCGTCAATATTAAACAATTAACAGGTGAGTGTGTAATCTTGACGACGGAGATTACAACGTTTAATAAGCAAAGAAGCATAGGATCTAATATTTAGCAAGCACGTTTGCTTAAAAAAATATGACAAAAAAAATAAAATAAAAATCAGTGACACCCGTCACTGACTTGTACTCTTGGCTGACCCATTTTACTATCGTTTTCATTTCGAGATGAGCTCATTTTTTTGCAATTGGATAATTTTCAAACGTCAATAGTGTTACGTCAAAACAAGAAACCTTTTTAAATATAACTAACGTTCCTCGTTTCAAATTAGTTTCAGGAATGAATCTAATTTAGGATGAGGATAAGTCAATGAGCCTACTGAATGTTGTGAGAGAATATTTATTTAGAAATTAACCAATAAAGAAAAGAGTTTACAATTGTACAATTGAAATATTATTGAAATAGAAAGTCTTAAATTAAGAAGCATGATTCGCACTACACTAAGAGAAATGGATAGTAAGATTTTGATGTTAAAAAGAGGATGTTACACGATGAGTAAGAATTTTTGAAACGTGGCACCTAAAATTCAAAAAATTTATTTTTGGCCAAAATGTTGTTTTTTCTATAGTGCTTTACATAAAAAAACACTATGTCAAAGGATTTGCCAAAAAAAAAAAATTTTGTTATTGTTATAAACAATTAAAGTTTTCAGACACTTTTTTTTTAAAATTAATTAAAAAGAAACTTGTTAACCGATTTTAATGATTCAAGAGGCATTCTCTTTTATTTGAGTCAAAGTTTTGAATAAAATTTTTTTCGTAAAAAATATTGAAATTTAATAAATAAACAAATTATTTATTTATAACAAATTAGCAAAAAACCATGTTCTCAATCGAATTTCAAAATGAAAAAAATAGTACTTATTCTCTGATTACCACTGAGTAATATTCCGTTGAGAAAAAAAATGTCACGACTTAGACAACTGACTTATTTAAACATTGTTTATCCCGAGCAGAACGGGATTTTCCTGTGACGTCACGCGCAGCGGTCCTTTGACGCGGGAATCTAAGAGAATATTAGAGGAATATCAAAAATAATATTAAAATAATGTTTAAGTATTTCTTATGGACGAAAAAAACTATAACAATTTAATTAATTGTTTAAACAATTAATTTTTGTTTAAACAATTAATTTTTGTTATTTTTTCATAAACAGTAGTTAGGGCTAGAAATTTCTAGTCTTCTCGCAATTTCTCAATTTTTCAATGAGTAAAACATCTACTAATGATAAAAAATAAAAAATTAATTAATTAAACATTGTTTAAACAATAATTAATTGTTGTTATTTTTATCATAAACTGTACTTAGGGTTAGAAATTTAGTTTTTTCAATCGTGCAATTTTTTATGAAAAAAAAATCTACTGATAAAAAATAAAAAATTATTTATTTAAAAATAAATATAAATTAAATATATATATATATAGTTTTTTTACTATAAAAAGTTGCATTATTGGCAAAAATGCAGGAATTTATAATTGATTATAAATTATGATTATAATTATAGATTATTATAATTATTATTATTATAGTATTATTATTATTATTATTATTATATTATTATGTATTATTATTATATTATTATTATTATTATAATTATTATTATTATTATTATTATTATTATTATTATTATTATTATTATTATTATTATTATTATTATTATTATTATTATTATTATTATTATTATTATTATTATTATTATTATTATTATTATTATTATTATTATTATTATTATTATTATTATTATTATTATTATTATTATTATTATTATTATTATTATTATTATTATTATTATTATTATTATTATTATTATTATTATTATTATTATTATTATTATTATTATTATTATTATTATTATTATTATTATTATTATTATTATTATTATTATTATTATTATTATTATTATTATTATTATTATTATTATTATTATTATTATTATTATTATTAGTATTATTATTATTATTATTATTATTATTATATTATTATTATTATTATTATTATTATTATTATTATTATTATTATTATTATTATTATTATTATTATTATTATTATTATTATTATTATTATTATTATTATTATTATTATTATTATTATTATTATTATTATTATTATTATTATTATTATTATTATTATTATTATTATTATTATTATTATTATTATTATTATTATTATTATTATTATTATTATTATTATTATTATTATTATTATAATATTATATATTATATTATTATTATTAGTATATTATTATTTTATCCCTAAATTTATAATCAATTGAAAAATTATAAATGCTCTAAATTTATAATCAATTGAAAAATTATAAATGCCCTAAATGTATAATCAATTGAAAAATTATTAATTGTTTATCAATGGTTAAATAACATTCTTTTAGTTTTACTATTATAATTAAGTATTTAAATTATAAAAAAAATTTAAAATTGAGAAAAACTAAGGAATTTCTAGTTAAGTACAGTTAATTGAAAAATTAACAAAATAAATTGTTTAAATAATGTTTAAATAATTAGATAATTTTTAGTTTTGTTATACTTAAGTGCTTTCGTTACAAAAAATGCATAATATAGAAAAAGAACAAGTAATTTCTAACTCTAATTGCAGTTATGAAAAAAATAGCAACAATTAATTGTTTCAACAATTTAATAAATAAGTAATTTTTAGTTTAAATGATTAATATATGTTTACGCCTGAAAAATTGCATAATTGTGAAAAAACGTTAAATTTCTAGCCCTAAGTACCGTTTATGAAAAAAATAACAACAATTAATTATTGTTTAAACAATGTTTAATTAATTTATTTTTTACCATTAGTAGATGTTTTACTCATTGAAAAATTGAGAAATTGAGAGAAGACTAGAAATTTCTAGCCCTAACTACTGTTTATGAAAAAATAACAAAAATTAATTGTTTAAACAATTAATTAAATTGTTATAGTTTTTTTCGTCCATAAGAAATACTTAAACATTATTTTAATATTATTTT